GGCCCGGCCCGGGCAGCACGTCCGGGGAGCCCTCGCTGGACTGCACCAGGTCCGCCAGCCAGGGCATGGACTGTGAGGAGGCCTGCGTACAGGGGCAGCCAACGTTCAGCACCTGCTCATAGCTGCCACTGCTCCATCCACGCCTACGACTCCCACCAAGTCCCAGACTCCACGTGTAGCCCCTTACAAGGAATCGTGGGCACACTGTGAACTAAAGATGGTGTGGCCTGCACAGTGAGGAGTCTGCATGATGTGTGTTAGCATCCAGGCATGCTCTACCCTCTCTAGCTCCAGTGTCAATGCCAGAACATTTCAGGCCGATCCCAGTTCTCCGTTTCACTCTCCAGAGCTGCCTATTCCTCCCGGAGCAGAACTCACCTGCCTCTGGATGATGTTGAGGAGGAAGTCAGGGTTGCGACTGCGACACAGGAGGTGTCCAAGGCGGAGGGACTGGTTGAGGCCTTTTACCTGATCTAGGATGTGAGGGGGAGGCCTCCGGGGGGGCCCTCTGAAGGTCACAGATGACATAAGTGTCAGAAAGCCACAGCATAATACCCCCGGACCAACAGCAAAGGGTAAGGTTGGGGGAAGCTGAGACCTCCCACCCCTGCCTCTAAAGGAACAACCCAACAGGCCCCAGGCCTATCACATCCTCGACCTCAGCTGTTCCTAAGGCCTGGCTCCGGATAGAACGATACCAGTGACATGAGGACTGGCTGTGGCGGGTATCTCAGGGTGCTCCTCTGGCCTTTGTCCCACGCATGCCAACCACTTGCCTGCCTAGACCAGAACTGGCACCTGAGCTATGTGTGGGATCATGAGCCTGCCAGGCCCACATTTCTGGGGCAGGGGTGGGGGCAGGGATGCAGTGCATACTGGGGGTCCAGGCTGGTGAGCTGAGACAGAAGGAGGCTGCTGCTCTCAGTGATAGTCTGCTTCGTGGATGCAGCAGCCAGATGTCCCTCAAATGCCAGGATTTCCTGCTTCTCTCGCTGGGAGATCTGCAACTCTCGATTAATCATCTCTGTCCGGGTTTCCTCATCCGTCAGGGTGCACGGGGGGTAGGAGTAGTTACTGGGGACCAAACAAGGAGGTACTTGTTACCCTGCCCCTTCTCAAAGGCTCCCTCCTACCAGATAACACTCAAGGTCAAAGAGGGTCAAAACTCATAATGACACTGCTGCCTGGTGCACGGCTGGAGCTGTCAGGAGCGTCAGGGGCTCCGCGGTGGGGCCATCAACAATGCTGTCAGAGTGGAGCCCTCTGCCAGAAGCCCAGCATTCTTCAAAGAACCCAGCCCAGCTATTTACTTTCCTTCCACACAACAGCCATCCACAGATCAAGCCCCTACAGTGTCATTGCAGAGCCTCTTTCCAGGACACTTATTCTGCCACGTCAAGCCATGCTATGCCACACTGGAATCTCCGTTTATTCTAACAGGCCCAATGCAGCCTCCACCTACACTGGTGGTTCCTCAGGGGCTGGGACTCACTGCTTTCAGAGGCATATGTGGCTTTCTGGGAGGCGCTAATAATAATAATGGTCCATCTTCCTAAACCCGATTTCTATGGTGTCTCTCATCTAAAGGGGGTCCCTAAGGCTCCACAAACTAGTTTGCTCCTTCAGCTGCTGGACAGCCCTCCCACAGTGAAGGAAGTAGTCATGTCCCTCAGTCTCAGCATACACATAGGCTGGGCCCCACAATATCATGGCCTCAGGCTCCGCTCCATCTACTGCCCTCAGTGTGGTGCTCTCGCTGGTTAAACTAGATACAGACTCCTGTAACAGGCAGCTGGCATTGCAGCATGACAAGCCCCCACCTGGGCTGGCCATCAGCTAGTGGTGAGCTGTAGCCACAGCCCCTCTGCCTTCCCTCCCAGGCCGTGCTAAGTGCGATCCCCACTTATAATGTGGGGTACTGAACCAGTTCTTCTGATGCTGAACCCAGACAGGGGTCACGTTTGGACCTGTTCAAATCCACCGGGCCCCTTGTCTCCACCCCATCTAACCTGCTTATGGCTCCTGATTCTTTGCTGAATCCCGCCTAGTAGCACAGCATGTCATCTATACTGTCCCCATTCCAGCCGATGGTTAAAAAAAAAAAACTGCCTAGGATGACCTGAGGGGTGCCCTGAAGACACCCCTACAGGCTCCCATGGTGCCACTTCAATCAACAGCCCCTCCCCCACCCCGAGAGGGGAGAGAAGACTAACATGCAGTAAACTGAAACCGAAACTTGGATCCAGGAGTGAAGAAAAGCAAGGATGCGATAGAGAAGATAAAAGAAGGATTCAGCGGTTAGGAGACGGGGCTCGCCTTGCTCTGTTTCCCTGTCCCTCTCGGTGTGGCCTCCGGCCCTGGGTGCTGAAGGGCCAGAAAGCTGACTTACTTGGTCATTACCATTTCCATGAGCATCTTCAGGGTGGGGTACTCCTCCCAGGCAGCCAGGCCTGTGAAGCAAAGAGAGGGGAAGGGCTGAGTTAGGACCACAGGCACTAGGGTGCCAGCTCCCCCTCCAGACAAGCGGCATCCCCTCTTCCAATTCTTCCTCTATTCTCAGCTGGGTTCTACCCCAAGTCCTGACAAGCAATCTGTCCTCGAGGAAGATCCAGCAACATGCTGCACAACGTGCACAAGCTGGCCAGAAAAGGCTCACCGATGTTCTCGGGGTTGAACGCGGCGACCACCAGCAGGAGGGGCCAGGCCTTCCAGTAGAGGGTCGAGATGGCCAGGTTCGGAGGCTGGTATCTGAAAGGCAGGGACGCGGCCTGCTTGGCCTCAGCTGCTCTGGGCCAGTGGCAACAGCACAGGTAGATGATCCAGTGACAGACTGACTTGGCGACTGCTTTAAAAACTACGATGTCAACATTGGTGCCTCAAAAACTCCCCTCCCAAGAATCTATCCTCCAGCACCACTTGTCTAAGCCTGCAAATGTAGCCATGACACCACACAGAGCCCAGCACGGGCTCACTGACCAGGGCCAAACTGTAGCCTTCTTTGCAGCTGACCTCCTGGGCAATTACTTTCCTTTTTAAGCTTCAATTCCCCACCTATAAAATGGGGGTTGAGGTAGATAAAGTAATGCTCAATAAATGTTACTTATCATTCTTATTCTTCCCCCCCAAGTTTATTTATTTCATGAAAGAGAGACGAAGGCAGAGAAAGTCCCTGCAGCAGGGTCTTGATGCTACAGTCCACCACTAGCCTCAGCCAGCCCCAGGTCGTGGGCACCAAAGCACAGGCACAGCAACAAAAAGATAGTCTAGACTTCATCAAGGCTAAAATATTTTGTGCAGCACACACAGATAAATGGTGTGTGGTTTTTACCAGGTGCCAAACAATGTAATGAGGGAAAGAATGAACACATTTTCAACAAGTGGTGCTGAGACAACTGGACATCCACACGGGAAAAGAATGAATTTGAACCCTGTCTCACACCACATATAAAAATTAACTCAAGGGACCAGCAGTTAGCGTAATGGCTATGTCGCTGGACTCCCACGTCGTCGACCGTGGTTCGAGTCCTGGACCCGGTGGCTTAAACTCACGCCGGGCGCGTGTGCATACGTGCCCAAGATCCCAAGAGGAGGATGGAGGAGAAGGGATTGCGGCGTGGCCATCCCCCCTGGGGAGTGATTTCTCGCTTTCTGTCTCTCTGTCTCTGTCTGCCTGGCGAGCGTACGCACCCTCTAGCAAAAACCTCTAAAAAAATAAATAAATGAACTCAAAATGGGTCACAGACCTCAAGGTAAGAGCTAAAACTATAATACTCTTAGAAGGAAACAGGGTTATATCTTGGTGACCCTAAGCTAGACAATGGTTTCTTGGACGACACAAAAGTACAGACACCAACTAAAAACAAATCAGACTTAATCAAAATGAAAAACTTTTGTATGTTAAAGGACATTATTAAAATGAAAAGACAATCTACAGAATGGGAGAAAACCCTTCAAAGCACAGATCTGATACGGGTCTAGGATCTAGAACATATAAAGAACACTTGTAATTCAACAACAAAACTTCAATTAACCCAATTAAAAAGTCGTCAAACGATCTGAATAAACATTTCTCCAAAGAAGAGCAAATGGTCATTAAGCACACGAAAAGATGTTTAACACATCAGTGATTAGAAAAACGTAAATCAAAGCCACAATGAAGTAACTCCTCAGACCCACCAGAAACGTTAAAGTAAGAAACATAGGTGGTAAGATGTGCGGATTGGAAGCTTTGTACAATGCTGCTGGGAATGTAAAATGGTACAGTCACTGTGGAAGGGTGGCAGTTTTTCAAAAAATTGTGAGGAAGTGCGGAAGAACAAAGAGTCCAAAGATCCTGCCGACGAGACTGAGGCCGACTAACTCGCTCTGAGAACTGACTTCTCCCCATCCCTTCCTAAATATCCAAAGACCGTACTGGCCAGTGTCCTTTTTTTTGGCCCCCTCCTGACACATACCCTAGAAGCTGATGTAGGACTGTATAGGTAGATTCTGACTGTAAGATGTTGTTTTAGGGGCTCAAGGGGAGAAACTGAAAGTGTTTGACTCTTTTTCTAAAGTGTTGAAGGTCTTTCTGGTTCTGTTTTCTTTTTTTTTTTTTTTGGGAGGGTTTTTTTTGCTTTATGGCGGTGGCGTTCGC